GCATCTGAGCTGGCAGGTGACCTCTGGGGGTGGGTGCTGTGTTGCTAACCTAGTGGGAACAGGGTCAGACACTCTGGGAAGTCGGGGCCCCCTCCCCTTCCCCGAGTGTTGACACTGTGATGGGGCACCCTCCCCTTTGCCGCTGACAGCACAATCTCACCTGGTCATGGGGCTCCTTATCAAGGGAACCCTCTGCACTGTCATCCAGGGGGTGACCTCCTCTGCTCGAACTGCAGGATCCCTGGGCACCCCCCAGCCGCTATCTTGTGCACAGGTCATAGGGACCCTGAACACTTGGTTGGGAGCTGGAAGCAGACAGGGGGGCGGGAAGGGGAGGGAACTGTTAGAGAGGGCATCCAACTTGATGGGGTTGCTGTTGCTTGCTGGCAAAGGCAGCTGGTGCACCCGCCCGCAGGCGCTGGGGACCAAAACCTCTTTGCCAGGCATCTTTCACAGTGCTTTGCAAAGGCAAATGAACCATGTCTCTCGCTGGTGTGGTAGCCTGGGAGTAGTATCATGCTCCCCATGCTACCAGCGTGGCAGGGCCTTGCCCAAGGTCACACCGGGAGGCTGGGGCAGAGACTGGCCTAGAACCCAGGCGTGTTGACTGCATGTTCCCCCTCTTGTGAGAATTACACTGTTCACTCACTTCTCTGGAGCCAACGGTGCGTCACAGCCTCTCGATAGCGGTCGTGGCTGCCCTGGTGCACCGTGCCATCCAAGCGCCCAGGGCCGATGGGGGGTAGCGATGGGTGAAATAATCCCCCTCTGAGTGGCTTCGGCCCTGAGGGGAAGGACAAGAAGGAAATTTAAAATGAAGCCCAGGAGACGGCCCCAGCAGGGCGGCTGGGGGCCTGGCATGGTAAGAACATAAGAACAGCCTTACTGGGTCAGACCAAAGGTCCGTCTAGCCCAGTATCCTGTCTGCCGACAGTGGCCAGCACCAGGTGCCCCAGAGAGGGTGGGCCGAAGACAATGATCAAGCGATTTGTCTCCTGCCATCTCTCTCCAGCCTCTGACAAACAGAGGCCAAGGACACCATTTTATCCCCTGGCTAACAGCCTTTTATGGACCTAACCTCCATGAATTTATCTAGCTTCTCTTTAAACTCTATTATAGTCCTAGCCTTCACAGCCTCCTCTGGCAAGGAGTTCCACAGGTTGACTACACGCTGTGTGAAGAAGAACTTTCTTTTATTAGTTTTAAACCTGCTACCCATTAATTTCATTTGGTGTCCTCTAGTTCTTCTATTTAGGGAACTAATAAATAACTTTTCTTTATTGGCCCTCTCCACACCACTCATGATTTTATATACCTTTATCATATCCCCCCCCAGTCTCCTCTTTTCTAAACTGAAAAGTCCCAGTCTCTTAAACTCTCCTCATATGGGACCCGTTCCAAACACCTAATCATTTTAGTTGCCCTTTCCTGAACCCTTTCCAAGGCCATGGTGAGTTTTGAGGTAGAAACCCGGTCCTCCAAGAACTTGTTTCACACCTGGGCTGCTGACCGGTGCTCGTCAGTGGCTGAAATTCAGTCTCTGCTGCCCAGGGGGGTTTGAACCTGACCCTTCTGCAGGCTCAAGTAGCCAGCTACAAACAGTGACTCCTGCAGAGACACCTGTCCAATCCTCATCTGGCAGGATGGTGCTTGGAACATGAGGCCAGAGATAACTTAAGGAGGCTGGAAGAGACCCTCTGACCTCCACCCATGAGCCTCAGATGCAGAGAGACTGGGAGGTAGCGGGACTGCTGGAATGCTACAGTGATTTGGGTTAGTGGGGCTCTGCTCCAGGTTTAAACCACTACCACCCTGGGGCGACTGGCAAAGGGCTTTTATTAACTAACACATGCCTGTCCCCTTCCACTCCACTGGGCTGTCCCACCAGGAGACTGGGGGAGGGTCAGAGTTTTTTAACATCACCCAAGGAAAAGCCTTGTAATTGTTGCCCTACGAAGAGCCCCAGTCTGCTCTCCAGGGTGCTTGGCCCACCAACCAGCGACAAGTCGGGTCTGTTTCTAATGCACCCATCACCATAGCATCTGGGCTCTCTTCTTACCTGCTGCATCAGGTGTTTTTAATGCCAGCTTTTTCTCCCGAAAGGGCTCCTGGTACCCCAGGTAGGTTAATCCAAAGAAAGCCATTTCCTACGCTGCCTGCGTCCGCCCGGGTCAGTCGAGGAAGGCGCTTTCTGGCTCCCTCCAGCCCCTGGTGCTTTGCCGTGAAGCAACTGTTGATTCCGTTGCCATAGAGATGCCCCAGCAGCCTGGTTGGTGACTCTCCTTCCACCCAGTTGGAATGTGGGTTTGTGAGGCTGTAATGGGAGGTGGTCACGACGACAGCTTGTCTTCTGGCTTGGGTTTGTGTTGTATTAAATCTGGGGTACCTGAGACCAAACTTCAGCAAAAGGAGGAGGGTTGGCCCCTCAAAAACCCTCTCCACTCCAGCTCAGGGAACTCTGCTCACCTGCTGTTCATATAACGGGAAAATCCTGGCACCTCAATCACATCAGCACTCCAGGCACCTATCCACACATTGCTTTTAATCCAGTGCAGATAGGTAGGGACTAGGAGTCATTCCAATCGGTCTGCTCTCTGGTGGCTCCAAGTAAAATAAGGAAAAGTTATTTACTTGTTCCTATAACACAAGAACCAAATGAAATTACTAGTAGCAGGTTTAAAATAGAAGGAAGTATTTCTTCACACAATGCACAGCCCACCTGTGGAACTCCTTGCCGGAGGATGTTGTGAAGACCAGGACTTTAACAGGGTTCAAAAGAGAACTAGATACATTGATGGAGGACAGGCCCATCAATGTTATTAGCCAGTATGAGCAGGGATGACGTCCCTAGACTCTGTTTGTCAGAAACTGGGAATGAGTGACAAAGGATGGTCGCTTCATGATTCCCTGTTCTGTTCATTCCCTGTGGGGCACTTGGCATTGGTCACTGTTGGAAGACAGGATACTGGGCTGGATGGACCTTTGTTCTGACCCAGTCTGGCTGATCTCACGTTCAAGTAAATAAACTGGTGTCCGTTCAGTTCTTTGAAAACACTGTCTCATGAGATTCTCAAGGACCTTGTAGCAGATGGAGTTCTCTAGGCTGTGTGGATGTCAGCAGGGTCACTTTGTCCTTCATCCTGCACAGGACAGATTATCTCTACGGGGTGGGTCAGTCAGCAACACTGAAGATCTTTAGCAATAAGAGTCTGGAGTCCTTGGTCACAAATTAATTCCCTCTCTGGAGCTGCCAGCCTGCTCCAGGGGAGTCTATTTTGATGTTGTGGGGGTGCTGGGTGGGTGTAGGCCAAAGTGTCTGGCATCCTGCTATCTGAGAAATTGCTCAGGCACTTGCAGATGTTTGGTATCTAGAAAGGACTCCAGCAGACAGATTACCTCATTTCTATATGCATACAGTACACAGTACAGTGGGGGCGCTGCCCCCCTCCTCGAGTTCTGGGGGCACAACCAGCATGCAAACATTTAGTAGGAAGAATTCAACTTTCCCAGCAGTCTTCCTTGTCCACTGTTATTTTGTGTTGGCCATCTGTTGTAAACCAACCCGGATAACATAAGAATGCCCTGGCTGAGCAGGGAAACATCCTCTTTCCAACAGGGGCCAGTTCAGAGTTTCTTCCTCTTCTGCCTCCTGAAGTGAGCAGCTGGAGAAAAACCTTCCCCTAAGAAGAAAGTGCTCTACTTCCCCATCACCGAGTGGAGGTTTCATCCCCATCATGGGGGCATTTCTGTCCCTTGTAAAATGCAAATTTTACTCTTGTGGCTCTCACTGGCCCTATAAATGGGTGCTCCTTTTAGCTCAATCTCCTAAGCTTTTGCCCCCAGTTATATACTGTAGCAGTGAGCTACGCTATTTGTGCTTTGTAGAATGCAATGTCTCATCAGACTTAAATGCCCTTGGTTGTCACCTTTCCCCGGCAATAAGAGCCGGCGCCACGCCCAAGTTCCTTCTCCAATGTTTACTTTAAAAATCTCAGTCACATATGTCTCTTCATTTTTCACTTTCTTTCACTTCACTTTCTTCACTAAGTCCCAGTCCTTTTAATCTGTGAATCATCCTCATTGCATCTCTCTGAATCTCTCACTCACGTCCCAGCCGAGGGACCCCAGGAGTAGGGTGCTACGTTCTTTTCAGCCCCGTTCCTTAGGACCCCTCTTTTCCTGTTTGCTTCTCTGAGCACTGCCATGCGCTGAGGAGGGGCAGCTCTGCCCTGAGGGCAGAACCAGCCAATTATACATGAGCAGGGGGTGGAGACTGGGCTCAGGGCTGGTGGGAGGCTGGGCTAAAAATGGTTGTGTTGGCATGGGGTGGTCTGGAGTCACAGGTGCAGGGGGCTGAGGGCTCAGGTACAGTCGGGGGGGGGGTAC